GTTTCTTTTTTCCAATGTAGCATTTAGGCTTTTCTCATATCTTCCAGTCTTAATACATACTCAAACTACCCACCCAACAAAACAGGAACTTGGGAAAGAGGGAGGAGGAAAATGGTCACATGTGTTTACCAATATTCTCATCATATCAAGGTCAAAGGAAATATTTTTTTAATTAGGGTGCTGTTAAGGAGAGAGCCCAGTGGATCCATATAACAGCCAATTCCTGTGAACCAAGAATATTACTATAATTGAAATTGAACTTTTATGTGACTATGACAAAAAAAGCTGTTGGCCTCCATCCAACAGCTTAACTAGTGAGCCATCATAGAAGTAAACCCTCTAGCCCCAATCGAGCCCCTAGATCAGAGGTCCGCAACCCACAGGCCACAGACTGGTATGGGTCTGCCACCTGTTAGGAGTTACGCAGCACAGCAGGAGGTAAGTGAGCATTACCACTTGAGTTCTGCCTCCTGTCAGATCAGCAGTGGCATTATTCTCACAGAAGTGCAAACCCAATTGTGAACTGCACCTGCAAGGGATTTAGGTGGTGTGCTCCTTAAGAGAATCTAATACCTGATGATCTGAGGTGAAACAGTTTCATCCTGAAACTATCCCCCGACCCACCCCAGCCCCATCAGGTGCATGGAAAATTGTCTTCCACGAAACCAGTCCCTAGTGCCAAAAAGGTCAAGGAACACTATCCTAGACAACTAAAGTTCCAGCCTACATCTTTGCTGCATCCTCCTGAAAGACCCTGAGCCCCAGTTTAGTCATTCCCAAATTTTTGAGCCATAGAAATTGAGTTAATAAACGTTTATTGGTTTAAACCCCTAAGTTCTGGGATCATTTGTTATTTAGTCATAGATATTAATACGAAGTATGAGAAGGGTAACTCTGCAAGAGATCTTCAAGGTATCTATAACTTGATGATTCATATATGTCATCTTAAGCTAAACTATTTTTCTCCTCGTCCCTACTATAAGATCACGAGTCAGCAATACCACACCAAAAAAGCTAGTGATTACAAGAGTGAACCATTTCCTCTTTCCACCATAAACTGGAGTCTACTGCATAAACTTTGTAGAGTAGCCCTTTACTCTGACTCCTATAAATGTATCTGTATACATAATCATAATCTCCTTCCCCCCGTCTCAGTAGAAGTCTATCTAAAGTACCCCTGATCTGAACCCTTGTATTACATCCTTTCCAGTTTGTTCAGTGCTTCACCAATTATTTTGCCTCATTCCTATATCTTCAGATTTTCATTCTGATGACTCTTTTTCCTCAGCAAATAAACATGTGCTTATATCTCTTATACCTTAAAAAACAAAAATCTTCTCTCAAACTCACAGCTTTAGCTACATCCTTCTCTTTTCCACTTACAACTAAACTTTCTGAAATAGTAAATTACATTAGCTATTTCAACATCCATAATCTCTTACCCAGTGTGAATTAGCCTCACTTGTAAAACTGCTCTTGCTCAGGTCATCAAGGATTTCTTAAGTGATATATCCAATGGATACTTTAGTTGTCCTCATCCTACTTGATGTCTATAGATGTCTAATACTCCTTTTCTCTAAACTCAGTTCTGCCACTGACTTTTGTGACTCTCATTAAACCCTACATCCCTGCCTACTTCTTTGAGGTATGTTTTTCTTCAACCTCACCCTTAAATGCTGTTGTTCTCCATCCTCTTCTCTTCTATTCTCACTCTACATTTTCCTGTGAGTGATCTCATCCATTGCCATTGCTTTTAACTATCATCTTTAAACCATGACTCCAAAATTTACATCTCAAGCTGGGTCTTCTTCTTAACTCAGATCCATATATACAACTGCCTAATGACAGTTTCTTAAAAGTCACAGATGCCTCATATTTAATGGACCAAACTGAACTCATCTCCCTGACGCATGCTCCCTGATCTACTGCTCTTCCTATACTTATACCTTAGTAAATGGCCCCAGAATCTACTCAGTTTCCCAAGCCAGATAATTCATTACAAGCATCCCAAAAGTATTTGTTAAACATTAATACATGCATGAAGATGATGGTGACCAGAAATTACCCTGCCTTCATTTTCCCTCAAGCTCACTAAATCCTATCCGTCAACCTTCTATGCATCTATTAAGTCCATCTCCATTTCTCAATTCCAGTTTGCACTGTAGTTCTCATTTCCCACCTGGATAATTATAATAGCCTCTAACTGACCACCACTCTTCAAAGCTCACCTCCCTCCAATTCATCACCTAAACAGTTGCCTATCTGACCATGTATCTTCTACATAAGTTCCCCCAAATTTTCTCAATTAAAAAATTAATTTTGCTAAGCTCCCATAAAATTTTTAAATTGTCATTATCTTTAATATGAAATGTAGTATGCTAAAACAAAGTCTACAAAAATCCCAGTTTCACCAGGCACAGTGGCTCACACTTGTAATCCCAGCACTTTGGGAAGCCGAGGTGGGCGGATCACTTGAGGTCAGGAGTTTGAGACCAGCCTGGCCAACATGGTGAAACCCTGTCTCTACTAATAATACAAAAATTAGCTGGGTGTGGTGACACACGCCTGTATTCCCGATACTCAGGAGGTTGAGGCACAAGAATTACTTGAGCCTGGGAGGCAGAGGTTGCAATGAGCCCAGTTGCGCCACTGCACTCCAGCCTGGGAGACAGAGTGAAACTGTGTCTCAAAAAAAAAAAAAAAAAAAAAATTCCTAGTTTCCCACTGTACATTAATGCAGCACTCATAGAGAATCCTACTTTATCAACTAAAATAATATGAAATTTTTTATTACAAATACACTTACTACACGAATAATGCTCACTTCCTGGTCTTTTACATAAACCAAAAACATAGTTGCTTATAAAATAAAGCAAATAATTAGTTCACAAAAATGTTACCTTCCAAGAGAAGATGCACTACTGTAGTGCTCTCCAGCGCCATGAAGACCATTATTCTATTACCAGAAGCCTGGAATAATGTGTAACGTACGATACTCAATAGTTATGAAATGAATTACACTGCTTCTTAATTACCTTTGATCGTGTCTTCTATTATTCTCTGTAGAATTCACAATAAAAAATATACTTGAGTTCAGTCATACACAATATTCTATGAACAAACCAAAAGTCAACTACTTTTCTTCATTTCCTTAATTTCTTATTAAAACACTTTACAAACATAGGTAGATTAAAGAGCAAGCAAAAGAGAAAAGAATTTTGACACCTGATAAGCAAAGGATTTCCCTGCTTTCTCCTGCCAATGCACAGACTAAGCACATGACTTAATTGTCAATCAGATATCAATAGTTCAAACATCAGGCAAAATGCTTCAAACGTCAGGCAAAACGTCAGGTTCCATTACATATCGCCGCCACCACTCCAACCCCATTCCCTAGCAATATAGGCAGATTAAACCACAACTGAAGCGGAAAGGCAGAAGATTTTTCTCTGAGCTTTAACTGAAAATTTGATCTCTTTAAAACTTAGCCAAAAATACTTACCCAACTTTTTTTTCCAAGAGTTTGCAATGTTGGTTTTCCTTCTCCCTTTTTTTCAGACGGCCCTTCTGCAGTGTTTCATCTTAAATCTGAAAAGAATGGCACTTTAACCAATCAAACAAGGTATTCTGGCTTTCTGAGCAGCATAACCTTTTCTGATTATATGATTTGGTTACTTACTCATGCACAAACAGGAGGAAACTCTTTCAGCCCAACATTACATTTCCCTGTTTAAAGTTTCCAAACAAGAAATGCTCCTAAGTCTACAATAAGACTACAACTTCCAAACTAAAGCTTTCCAAAGGTTCCAAAACCACTGTACAAGAGCATGAGTTTGGTAATCAAAGGTCCTAGAAATCAAATCCTATGTTTAAAACATATTCAAAGTGTGACTTTGAAAGTGTGACTTTGAAAAAGTTTTTCTCTCAAACTGTTGGGTCCTTGCTGGCAAGAACAGTGCCAAAATGTCCTTCTTGGCATACTTTCTAATCGAAGGAAAATCTTGGAAAATCACAGGGTGCTTGGGAGTTTGTATGGCCTACTGACCAAGGGACCGCAAACAAGTCAGATTACGTGGCTTGAATCACAGATCTGACTTCAAACATGCTACTTTGTAGGTCTACGGACTTTTTGTTCTTTCATCTAGAAAATGGGAATAATAGACTTTATAGAATTGTTATGATTATTAATCGTGATAATATATGCACATAATTATATGTACCACTCAATAGTTACAAAACAAGGTATTTTAGTTATTCATCTATTTTTATACTTTGTATATTTAACTTGGAATATAACAACTTCATTGCTACGGCCCAGGGTGAAAGCAGCAACAGTAAACCAGTTGAAACTTATAGGCCCTTATACAGTTATAAAGCCCACGATTTCCTTAAAGAGGATATTTACATGAACTTTTTACCTTTAACAAACGTCAACACTAAGGCCAACAGGAAGGTAAAAGAAACGACAACTAATACTCTCCAGAGGGAAAGTCAACTTATTTTCACCTTCCTTTGACCAATAGGAAATTGTGCTGAAATGCACTCTTCCAGAGTGCAGTGCAGCAAGCACCAATTCAGAATACAAAACACATCCATCCTGGAGAAGAAAGCGGGGGTTGTTCCAAGGCTTACCCGCCCTCAGTCAATCAACCCTATACTAAGCAGCATGGAGTCTACCACAACCCAGTGCTGCCGGCAAAGCTGAAGTCCGAGCCTGCGGACGCACTGTCCTTTCCGCAGTCTACACGCCAGCAAGTGGAGCGCCTTACCATCACCCGCAGGAACCGCTCCTGCATCCGAGTCCCCAGCCATCCGCCTGCCATGGCCCTTCCAGACTTTCCCACTAACCTCCAACACCCGGTCTACAGATGCCCGCACTGCAGGTAAGGATGGCAAAGAAGTAAGAGTCGCCGCCGCAGCAGGCAGCCGCGACGAAGCCAAAACTCTCGGACTCCGACCAGACTGAGTTCCAGAGACGCTGGAAAAAGGTGCGGACAACCTCAACCGTGTCTGGCCCGGCCCATCCCCTCACCTGGGCGAGCGCCGAGGCAGCCCAGAATCGCTCTGGCCTCTCTCTGGAGAACGTCAAGGGCCTTGGGCGGCGGTAGGGGCGGCGGCGGCAGCAGCACCGAGCCGGATGCAGCCTGCGGAGCTCCGCCAATGCAGACACCCTCTAGCCCCGCCGCCCGGGCCCGCCGCCCAGGTCCAGACCCCTGCCGCAGCCACCGACACCCAGGTGGGCGGAGGAGGAGGGGAGGGGTCCCAACCGAGGCCGGGCGGCACTGCGCCTGCGTGAGGCGGAACGTCACACACCAGCGTCGCCGGCGCCTCGAGGTACGCCACTCAAGCTCCGCCCAGGAATCCGGCGGCGCCATGCCCCGTTTTCTCCTCCCTGGGCTGGAGACGGAGCCAGAACCGTGAATTTGGAAATCGTTTTGCTGCTCTAACAACCCGAAGGAAAAGTTAGTGCCTTCCTGATACCAGGAGGCAGATAAGCCACTTAGGAGAAGAAGGCTAACGAAAAAGGAGCATCGGATGGGTATAGGACGTTAACTGAGGCCTTAGGAAATCGAGGGAAATGCTTTTATGATATGATCAGTAAAGGAGTCTCGATTGTGTGAAATGCTGCCTGCTGAATCTCTCAACTAAGTCTGTTATTATGCGAATGATATTAATGAAAAGTAACGTGCTGATCTCTATTTTTTAAAGAAAAAGGCTCTTAATATTATTTAGCGAGGCAAACAAGGCAAACGACTTATTGGAATTAGAGGCACGTCGCGGATATTTATCTGCGCACCTGTTATGTACAAACTGTGGAGAGAAAGGTGGAAAACAATAGTATGCTAGCAATAGTAAACAGTGTTTAGCAGGGGTTCTTGACTAATCTTCCCCAAATCCTGTGAAGGCTATTCTCACTATCCCCATTTATCTCCATTTCACAAATTGAAAAACTAAGACAGAGAGGTTAAATAACTTGCTAGAGAACCATGGTTTGGACCCAAGCAATGTGGCTCCGAAGTATTACTGTATACTGCCTCTCAAGTTCTAAATGTCTGAATCTCTAGTTCTGACTTCCTTCCGGAACTGCGGTACTTATTATAACCTTAACATTTCCACATGGCAGTTCCACTCTCACCTCAAAAGGAACAGATATGAAACCAAATTTAAGACAATGCCGGAAAACACATGAGATACCACAGTTAACTATTAATGCATATAAGGAAATAGACGCCCAGACAGAAGTGGTTTATGGAAGGACTGGAGGAAAACCAAAAGGTGAAAAGCATGCACTGTCTTAGTTACTTCCTCCTGCTACCTGGACACTCATACTGCCCTAATGTAAATTAACTTTAGAGTTTATTTCTGCCCCTCTACAAAGAAATTAACAATTTCAATTGTCTTTTCAACATCTGGAAGATTTCTAATCATTCTTAATCTTTGTTTCCTAAGAAGGGAACCCCCACAAGGATTCAAAGTTGCTACCGCCACACTTCAGACTTTGCCCAAGAAGGACATTATGCAAGGACAAGTTCTCTGAACTAGAAATTACCTAGAGATGGTACAAGTTCCCCAAATCAAAAATTAAACTGAAACTAAGTTGCCCTGTAGCTAAGGGGAAGAGATAAGAGGTTAGAGGAGAGAAGGACGGTCACTATGGCCCTTCTCTATGTGAGGGGACTGTGGGAATCTGGAAGTTTCTGCCTCTACTTCCTTTCCATCCCTATGATCAAGAGTCACCCTGTAACTACAGCTATGCATTAGGTGACATTGTATAAATGAATTATTTATTTTAGAAGCCTCTATTCTAAAGGTCTGTAGTCTTGTAAAAATCAGTATGCTCTCTGACATTTCATGTGGCTTACTAAATTTGCATGGCAAGGCTTACTGCCTTCTCCAGCCTCCCACCTTTTCATTTTTCTCCAACATCGTTAAAGTAAGGATGCCAAAGAAACTGCCTCCATGGAATTCAATAAGAATTTCTCTAATGATGAAAACCCTCAAATGATTTTTATCTTACTTTTTATTTGAAATAATTATAGATTCACAGGAAATTGCAAAGATAGTACAGAGTGGTCTCATGTACCCTTTCACCCTGTTTCCCCATAGTTACATCTTTTATAATTATAGTACAGTATGAAAACCAGGAATATGACATTGGCACAATGTATGTAGCTCTATTTCATTTTATCTTGTGTAAATCCATGTGACTGTCACTACACACAATACAGACCTCTTTTATCACCACAAAGATCTCCATCTTCTTACCCCCTTTATAGATGCGCCCATCCCTCAACCCAGATAACAACTCTAACTCTTGGCAACCACTAATCTGTCTTCCATCTTTGTAATTTTATCATTTTGAGGATGTTATGTTAATAAAAGTATACAGTATGTAACCTTTAGATACAGCTTTTTTCACTCTACATAATTCCTTGAGCTCTATCCAAATCGTCATATATAGCAATAGTGTTATCTTTTGATTGCTGAGTTGTGTTCCAAGGTATGGATTTTCCATAGTCTAATCATTCACCCACTGAGGAACATTCTGGTTGTTTCAGTTTGAAGCAATTACAAATAAAGCTACTGTAAATAACTGTGTACAGGTTGGTTTGTGTGTCTAGTGATTTTTTTAAAAAGAAAAACAACATAGGAAATTTTCTTTTGGCCACTGAAGAGCACTATTTTTTTTAACTTTTAAATTCAAAGGTACACATGCAGGTTTGTTACATAGGTAAACGTGTGGTCTCGGGGTGTTTGTTGTACAGATTATTTCATCACCCAGGTATTAAGCCTAGTACCCATTAGTTAGTTTTCTTCCTCCTTCACCCTCCCATAGCTCCCAGTGTGTGTGGTTCCCTTCTGTGTGTCCATGTGTTCTCTTCATTTAGTTCCCACTTATAAGTGAGAACATACGGTATTTGGTTTTCTGTTCCTGTGTTAGTTTGCTAAGGATAATGGTTTCCAGCTCTATCCATGTCCCTGTAAAGTACATGATCTCATTCTTTTTATGTTTATATAGTATATGTGGTGTACATGTACCATGTTTTCTTTATCCAGTCTATCACTGATGGGCATTTAGGTAGAGTCCATTGCTTTGCTATTGTGAATAATGCTGTAAATGAACATATGCATGCATGTGTCTTTATAATAGAATGATTTATATTTCTTTGGGTAGATACCCAGTAATGGGATTGCTGGGGCAAAAGGTATTTCTGTCTCTAGGTCTTTGAGGAATTGCCACAGTCTTCCACAATAGTTGTAATAATTTACACTCCCACCAACAGTGTATAAATGTTCCTTTTTCTCTGCAACCTCACCAGTACCTGTTATTTTTTTTTGACTTTTTACTAATAGCCATTTTGAGTGATGTGAGATGATATTGTGGTTTTGATTTGCATTTCTCTAGTGATCAGTGATGTTGAGCTTTTTTCATATCATTGCTGGTCACATGTATTTCTTCTTTTGCAAAATGTCTGTTCATGTCCTTTGCCCACTTTTTAATAGTGTTGTTTTTTTCTTGTAAATTTAAGTTATTTATAGATGCTGAATATTAGTCCTCTGTTGGATGCATAATTTGCAAAAATTTTCTCCCATTCTGTAGGTTGTCTGTTCACTCTGTTGATAGTTTCTTTAGCTCTGCAGAAGCTCTTTAGTTTAATTACTTCCCATTTGTCAACTTTTACTACCGTTGCAATTGTTTTTGGCATTGTCTTCATGAAATCTTTGCCTGTATCTGTGTCCTGAATGGTATTGCCTTGGTTACCTTCCAGGATTTTAATAGTTTTGGGTTTTACATTTAAGTCTTTAATCCATCTTGAGTTAATTATTGTATATGGTATGAAGAAAGGGTCCAGTTTCAATCTTCTGTATATATTCTGGTTATTCATCTGGTTATTCAACTGGCTACCATGGTAACATGGTAACCAGTCCTCCCAGTACCATTTATTGAATAGGGCATCCTTTCCCCACAGAACACTTTATTTTTAAGGTGGGCCCAAGATGAAAAGGTGAAGTTTATCTATTTTAGCTTTCTCTTTTCTCCCTTGGTCCTCTTATTTTCCATTCAGAGGTTTACATACAAAGGCTAGCTTCTGAGTCAGATTAAATAAGGCTCTCATGGCCTCCCTGAAGTTATCCTCCATACCTCTTTCTGCCCTTATAAATTTCAATTTTATATAAAACCATAAAAATAAATCAATGCGGACAAAAATCTTCAAGTTTAAAGGGATTGAAAGTAATAAATTTCTAACTATCATTTCAGGCACAATAAAAGGATTATTTAGAGATAAAATAGATTGCTTTCAAAATACAAAGGTAGCCACCAAATTAGCCAAGATTTAGCTGCTTTTTATTTACATTGTCATTTTCACAATGAAAATGTTTTATACTAGAGTAAAATAAAATGTGCTTCAAACATGCGGTAAATAATAAGAGTAACCATGTATTAAACATATATGACATTTTGTAATGTGTGCATATACTACGGATTCTAAAGTAAAATAACATAGTTTGATGCAATTAATTATCTTTTTCTTTGACTCTCTCTTCAATGTATACGTTCTCTCTCTACACCTAATATGACTGACACTTGTTTTAGTTTACTAGGGCTGTCATAACAAAACACAGAGCAGATAGCTTAACAGAAATTTATTTTCTCCCAGTTCTGGGAGCTGAAAGTCCATGATCAAGGTGTTATGAGATTCAGTTTTTCCTGAGGCCTCTCTCCTTGGTTTGCAGATATCCATCTTCTTCCTGTGTCTTCACATAGTCCCTTCTCTGTGCAATCACATCCCTCATATCTCACTAACTGTCCTAATCTCCTCTTGTAAGAAGGATTCTCAGCAAAGCCAGTTGCTTCAATCTCATGCTTGCCATGGTAGCAACATGGTGGCAGAACTCCAGTCTTATATTCTTCCTTCTTTTTTTTTTTTTTTTTTTTTTGATCCAGGAAGAAAGATCAAGAATCTTGTCACACTGGCTTGTGATTCATTGACTGCTTTTGGGTCCCATGTATATTCTCAATCCAATTGCAGTGGCAATGAAAACTGAGATACGGTTGCCAAGTGTAGGCCTTAGTCAGGCACTCTGCCTCCAGAATCACAGCTGATACCAACTATGCACTACCATTATGTTATCAATAAAGTGTGTATCACAATGATTTCCAATTTTTGTTTTGAAATATCTTTTTTTTTCCATACTGATTATAATTTCTCTGAGGAAAAAATTATTTACAGATCTTTATATTTAGGCCTAGAAGTGAGTCTTACATGAGTTAAACATTCAATAAATGGTTATTCACAGGAAGGAAGGAACAATTAGCTTCAGATGACACAACATTATATTAAAATAAACATGTTAAAGAATGTTTAAAAAC